AATGCGGCGGGCATGCTCGACCACACGCTTCGTTGCTTCAACGAGGTCCCCAGCCTCACCTCCGCCCCCACCAATGCGGCGGGCATGCTCGACCACATGCTTCGTTGCTTCAACGAGGTCCCCAGCCTCACCTCCGCCCCCAATGCGGCGGGCATGCTCGACCACACGCTCCGTTGCTTCAACGAGGTCCCTAGCCTCACCTCCGCCCCCACCAATGCGGCGGGCATGCTCGACCACACGCTCCGTTGCTTCAACGAGGTCCCCAGCCTCACCTCCGCCCCCCACTTCCCCATCTCCTTCAACGCCGTCCTTTCTGACTGCATTCGTGCCAAGAAGCCTGATCGGATCGCATGCCGGACCTATTCGCTGAGCTCTCTGACAAGCACGGCATCACGCCCGATGCATCTCCTACAGCATTCTGCTTAAGTCTCTCTGCTTAACCGGCAAGACCGATAAGGCCTTGGTGACCTTGAAAGAGATGGTGGATGTGAAGCATATTGAGCCTAACGCTGTGATCTACACCACCCTCCTTGATTCCCTCTACAAGGAAGGGAAGCCAGACGAGGCTGATGAGCTGTGGAAGGAGATGGTTGACAAGGGGTGTGCCCGCGATGTGGCTGCTTACAACGTGAGGGTTATGCATCGGGCACTACATGGGAAGCTGGAGGACATTCTTGAGCTGATCAGGGAGATGGAAGCTGCAGGAATTAAGCCTGATACCATCACATACCCTTGCCTCATCACCTGCCATTGTCATGCTGGTCAGGTTGAGGATGCCAAGGCAGTATATAGGGGACTCAGGAAGAAGGGTTTCAGTCCAAAGGCCTCACCAGATAGGATTTTTCTGGCCAATTTGTGTGAGAATGGGGATGTCGACATGGGATCGGAGGTGTTTAGGGATAGCTTGAAGCTGAATAAGGTTCCAGATTTTGGTACAATGAAGCTTTTAGTGGAGGGTATGGCGAAGAAATTAAAGATGCAGGAGGCCAAGGCAGTAGCTGATCAGGTAAAGAAGCGGTTCCCAGAAAATTTAGTTGGACGGAAGGAGGTTGGAGAGGAGCTTCGTTTGATTGCGGATGTGGAAGTATCTGACAATCTAGAGGTTGCTTAAAGCTTCAAATTCTTGCTTTGATGTTGGCACCAAATAGATCGGTTCAGTGGCTCTTTAGATGGAATTGGCTGTTGAAGTGTGGACTGCTAGGATAAATAAGGAACTGAGGTACCAACATTGAAGAGGGACAGGCTTTTGTTAATGAACTACCAAACACTGCAAAGGCCTCAAGTCTGCCATGATGATGGTATGGTATCTGACAAGGCCTGAATTGTTCTAAAGGAATGCTTTTGTAGCTTGATATGAGTAAGTTGGTTCACTTGAATCATATTTACTTATATACCACTATGTTGCCACAATCTCATATACTTTGGAATAATGTTGAATCCATAGTTGTTTCATGTTGAGCATCGTTTTTATCGTTGGTCTTATTGTTACCATTTGTTATAAATGTGATTGCCAAGTAATTTGAGGTAGTTGTATGTTGTTACAATTTCATCTAATATATCTGATTAGTTGTTCATGCGTTCATGGATTGCTTCTATGTTTGCTAATGGTAATGACACATATCTGATGCTTTAGTTGAAGGCCATGTAATTGTCAATATTGATTTGGATTAACTGGGCACATTAAGGAACAAAACTCAAAAAGGAAGTTTACACTGTTTATGCTGTCATTGATATATAGGCATAATAAAATATGGATGTTTATGTGTTTATAATAAGCAAAATACGAAATGATTTTGAAGAACGACACACAAACATAATATTTACCCTATTCATAGGTTAAGGAGCATAAAATGGCTTTCACGACGAGGCCTGTATATTGTCAACCTATTTCTTTTGTTTCTTTCTCAAGGATTAGCAAATGCTGTTTGAAACCATGGACATTTTTGTCAATAAAAAAATATCCATATGAACTGTTCCCTCAAAGAATCAAATGAAACACACATTGGATCTTGTACTAGTGGGAAGGAGTCCTGAAAATGGGGATCAAATTGTCTCCTAAACTCTCGTTATACTTGTCATATTCTTCAGCTAACCTTGTTTGTGGTTTCCTTATGATAGAAAAGCCCGAGGCTAATGGTTAGGTTTTATTTCTGCAATGCCTGTAGAGCAGTTAAGGCTAGTATGGATTGCAGGGATAGCAGGGTTGACTACATTACAAGGGAAGGATGAGGTGGACTCTTTGAGCTTATAGTTTGTGTCCTTCTGTATGTCGAAGTTGTTACATTGAAGAAGAAAAAAATTAATCTCTATGCACTTTGTTGTATTTAGAAGTGTAATTAACTTGCTAAAACATGATGCACTCCATTGTTGTCCATCCAAATAACCAATCTGGATTTTCATATATGATTGCAGTGCTCAAACCATTCAAGTCATTTGACTTTGTGGTCATTCTTTCTTTTTACTCTTTTTCTTATCCTTGACCCTGCGATTAGACTATATGTCTCGTAAAAAGTAATAAATTTAGGAATTTAATATTTTTATTTGGTTAACTGATTATGTTATGGATGCATAGTTCTGTATTTCTATCTCCACTGTGGCAGCATAATTTAGGTGCATAATCTAGTTTTGAATTTCATAGATCTGTGGGAGCAATTTTTATCTCGCCGAAACCACAAAAATGGTTCCATAAAGAGAGAGGAGATAAATTAAATACAAAAGTATTTTTGATATATTGATAGGAGCAGCATTCATCATGGCAATAATCAGTTGGTTGTTGTTTTTCTTTTCTCGGGTAAAGAGATAATATCATTTGATAGCTTAAGGACTAAATTTGCTTTCCTATATGCTTTACCTGGATTATATAATCATTTTTGTAGTAATGCCCCTGCAGAAGCAATTTTTTATTTGTCATTTTAAAATATAGATCAAAATTAGTTATTTAATTTTCATTATTCTTTACTCCAGGAAAGAGCTGTAGTTTCTTTAAATGCAGGTCCAAAAGCCTGGAAACACTGATTGATGCATGCCAATTGGAGACATAGGTATGTCTGCAAGCAATGCTGATCAACATATTTATGCCATATTTCTGGTCGATAAGTAGCTGTAAGTCAGGTTTTTTGGGCTCCTCATAGCTATCCGACCTGTTCAAGCCAGGTTATGATAACGTTCTATTAGGTTTTTATACAGGTTTCAATAGAAATTTAGTTCTTGAGTTTGATTCAATATCTAGTTAAATTGTGGAATTCCAGTTTGGGTAGATAAAAATTCATATGTGCTGCACTTGTCATTTAGAGAAATTTAGTTCTTGGGTTAGGGTTCGGGTTTAAGTTCGAGTAAGATAATTAAGTTGGACTAACCGGGTGGTGGATGAGACTAGAATTTTATTAGTGCCCTAATGATAGATGCGTATCCTGTGGTGATGGCACGGTTTGACATCACCCGAGCACTGTCAAAGCTTTCACTCAACCAAGATGGAGTAGGTGCCTTACTAATGGCACTAACTATTTAATTAGTGCACTACTGATACGTTGTTCTTGCTTAAGTTTCTTGAGGGTCCATGTTTCAACTAATCTCTCAGGCGTGCATGTTGAGTGGCATCCTCTGCCTGAGAGAGAGGACAGAAAAAGGAAGGAAAGCTAAAGGCTCAACGGTGGGTTGTTGAACTGCTTGGATTTGGGGTGTTTGTTCTTTTCTCACAGTCGGATTCTCATCTTTGTTCTTTTCTTTACAGGTTGGTCCATCGTCGTGATCAATCCTTCAGGCTTTGGATAAGGACGAAGGTGTGCATGCTTGTTTGGAACATCTTCTTTTCAGGGCAGGGAAGATTTAATTAGCTGATTCATTATTTTGGATATTCTGAATGTGTGTGAGGAATTCCAATGAACTCTTTTGTTTGACTGGCTTATAGTTTATCGGTAGAAGTCCCAATGCATACCCTCAGTTTTGGAGTATTTGATGCGTATCTTGATATCATTAGATCACACCACAAGTCTCCATCACGCTAAAACCTCACGGGTTGCTTGTGAGATAATTATTATCACATCGTTTTCTCATACAAATCCCAGGGCCTAAAAATAAGAAGAAAATTGCTGCTACTCTCCTTTTTCTTTCTTCTTTTATTTCCTTTGTATTTACATGCAGGGAATGCGTTTTAGCCAAGCACATAACAAAACTACTGTGCACCAGCCAGCTTCGTCAACGACGGTCGTCGGCCATCTCGTTCCAGCAGACCCTTGAGCACCACCATCTTCTTGTACTCCTCCGAGCCCACGTCGATCTCGCAGCCGCCTTCTCCGCCGGTTCCAGCGCCGCGCGCGGCCGATGTGGCCCTTATCCGGGGCAAGAAGTTGAACAAGGTGCACAAGCAGAGAACCGTACACGTCCGGCCGCAGAACAGCAGCAGCGCCAGCGCCACCGCGACCACCAACAGCCCGGCGGCGGAGTCCAGCTCTCCGGCGCCCTTCATTGACGGTTTCACATGGGTGGAGGCGGCGGGGCGTCCAGGCTCGGGTGAGCCGGGATGGCTGGTTCGGGTGCCGATTTGGGTCCGGTCGGGCACGCGGTACGTGGACGCCGGTTCACTTCGGGTCTTGCATCTGGACGTGACATGGCGCGCCCTGGGATTCTGGGCCCCGGCAGAGGGTTGTTGGGGCTGGTGCACTTTGTGGGCAGTTGTGTTGGGGCCTTCAGTTCCATTGTCCTGACGTAGCCGCAAAAAAAAACCCAATTTTCCTGTCAAATTCTAAGGTAATTTCTTCAAGAAAACAGCTTATATTTATTTCCTGCCTTGAATAAAATCTAATGTCAATCACAAAATATCTAAAGCAAAACAAATTGCTGCGTTTTGCTGCTCGCATTGGAATCCAGCAATTCACATGAACCCTATGAAGGAGCCGAACACAAGCGACGTTTCTTACTTGCAGCTGCAGCAGGTAAATCGAGCTTCACAAAGCTCGCACTCTATCGTTGACATCATTAGAAGGGTCGAAGGTTACGCTGAGCTGTAACGAGTCTCCTACCTTCTGAAAGCGGTGGCGGAAACCGCTGTTCCCCGGCTTCCGCGCCTCCTTCCCTCTCGTCGGCGTCGCGTCGCCCATCACGTTCACCGGCACAGTCTTCTTCTTCTCTCTAAACTTCCACCACCGCGGTCCTTTACCCGGCACGCCCAGGGACTCCGCAGCCTTCGCTTCGGTTGTATCTAACACGAGAGAGGCCCGGAAACAGGAGAGCAAGCACGAACGTCTCCTCCTCTTGCCATGTGTTCCCGAGGCGGCGATCTCCTCCGCAGCCATCGCCGGCAGGACCTGCTGTGCTAGCACGGGAGACAAGTCGTCGTCGTCGTCGTCGTCGTCTGTGATCTCCTCATTTCAGAAACCTGTGACATTAGAAGGAAGACGGGGAAACAGTAGGTGGTGGAGCGAGGACTTGCTAAGAGGCGTCGAGGGGGAGGGGGTCAGACGACTGCTATGACCTGCAATAAAGTCGAAGCCTTTACCAACACGCTGTTCTGCGACTCCCCTCTGCCCGTGGCCACATATAACGTATTTAAGTTTCCCAAACCATCCTCTCCTTGTAGCAATAATGACTTGCGTGTCAATCGAAGAAAACAAAATTGCACTATATTATTCTATACAAGATCTTCTTATGTTCCACGGACAATTCTAACGAGAAAAACAAATATTGATTGACCCATTGACACATGATCGATACCGCCATTCGCCTCGGCCAAGCTCCTCGGCTTTTCCTTGTGGGCGTCTGTGCATCAGCTTGACACCACAGAGCCAAACTTACTATCACGCTTCGGTGAGGAAATGTAAGTATATGGAGATCACAGAGGAAGTAGATGACTGTCGAATATGCATGGATACAAATGAGATAGCAGTCAAATCTATTTAGGTGCCAAACAAAGAAAGAAAGAAAGAAAGCAAACATGAAGATACATGGATTAGATAGTAGTCAAACTCACATTTATCACGACCTGAAAGAGACATCGAGTGGATAGATGGCAACATGCTGAACTATGTGAACCTGTATATGATAGATCACACAACCGTGGTAACTTTTAAGATATTTGGCCTCATTTTCAAGTATTATTTCAGCATCATGTTGGCAAACAAAAAGTTCTTTAATGGAAACCTCATAATGAACCTTATCTCTAGCAAGCTCACTCTAGCCAAACAGAAGAAGAGAGACAGAGAGAGAGAGAGAGAGAGAGACTGCAACTTTTCATTGCACATGTGTTTATCCTTCAATGCAACAGTGAAGTTGGATATGCCAAATAGGATGATAGTTAAGTTGATATGATAATTGTTAGTATACCCATGGAATCAGGTTGGTCAAAGAAATGATGACATAAGAAAGAAATATTTTTTATCAGTGCATTTAATCTTTCGATAATGGTCACAGAATTAATATTATACATATATGGAGGAGGTTTGCAATTACTTGACATGTTAAGCTTCATGGTAGAACTTCCCTAACTTTCAAACGTGACAACACATGAAAAAGCAGATCAAGACAAGTCAACTTGGTCACATGATACTGGTGATGGGAATGGAAGATTCAAGAGGATGTATTAAATGAAATGCGAGGGACATTTTGGTCTCCGGAGAAGGAGAGGATAAGAATGGTGTTTGCCATAGATGGATTAGTTAAGAAGATGAGAAAGACGAGAACTTGCAGCAGTCGGTGTGGATATTACTGTGGAGATGATGAGGCCAAGGCATCAATTCAAAGTGATCCTTTTCCATTACGTAAGCCTCTGCTTACTCTTAATTGTTTAGCTTTTGGATTCTCATGTGTCGTTATTTCCATGCACGTCTCTCATCTTCTTTGATGGTCAAAGTCAAAACCTTTATGCATGGTTAGATAATACGATTAACAATCATGCTCTTACAAGCACAGATTTGGTCGAATTAAAAAAAAGTTATATAATTAATCAAAAGTCTACACACTAACTAATTAATGTCTCATCAACGTAACGTAGATTCTTAGATAAAATCAATTAAGTCCATGACAAATGATATCAAAACGGAACATCTTGGGATAAATAGGTTAAAAAAATCTAAACATCTTGAAGATATAATAATAATAATAAATAATATATTTCTAATTGTTTGGAATATGATTTGCTATTTGCTTATAAAATCTTATATTTATATATTTATTTTCTGTTCACCTAAAGTCACAACAATTAAAATTTTCTAAATTTTAAGCCGGTAGTTCGATACAAAATCTTAATTTATATTCTTAATAGTCACTTAATTATGCACCGAGATTATCGATCTTTCGATATAATCCTTCATAGCTCATTATCAAGCTCGTCCAAGGTTGAGAGGACGATCATCTTCCTTGCAGTCCCTATCTAAATTAGTCTTCTGGTTCAATCATTTCATGTGAAGATGTACATGACCTTCTTGCTGTATCTGCCTTGTGTTCATTGACCGGATCAACCATAGCATTTCTAACATGAATAATCCATGCCCTGTTCTGCAAGCAAAGACGCTGGATGAGTCAAAAGATTCATATTTCATGGAATACATGTATTGTAGTAGCTTGATCACCAAGGAATCATCCTCTTACATGACAAGGTTGTCTTTTTCTTTTCATTTCAGGGTTAAATTTCCCTGTGAAAGTTGACTTCCTCTTCTGTTTGCATAGTTTTTTCTCTTGCAATCTATCCTCCACAGGGTGACAAGTTGCTTGTGCTAATCGAGGGTTGACCATCGGAAGATTATACGAGAGTAGGGCTAAGATTTCTTCTTTACGTTGTTAGGCGACCTTATAATCTCTTTTGACAAGTCTTAAGGGTTGACTTATTTTTTAAATAATATAAATATTTGATGTGGCCTCTAAATTCTTTCTAAATCTTGAATTCGTGGAATCAAAGTCTTGGAGGACAATTAATTGAAATATAAAGACTTCTATATGAAGGAAAAAAAAAGATATTATGATCACTAGCGTTTACTTAATTCGATAAACATCCTACGATAGATGCAGTGCTATGAGAATCTTTAATAAATTTAAGGAAGGATTTTTTTTTTTTTTCAGTTTACATGAGAGGGAGTATATGACAAGTAAACTCAAGCGAACTTATAATTCTTTTATAATTGATTAAAATTTTATTATTGTTTGTGGATGTCAATTAAAGCATCAAAGCATATAGATCTTATGTTCACTATTTTGAGTTTATGTTTTTGTGTTAATTCTCGAGTCTTAAGTACTAAATTATTTATTAGCATAATTTTTTTATATTTAATGTAGCTATCACCCCCCACTTGGTATTAGAATAGTCATAAGGTCGGGCTAATCGTGAGCGTCACACTTAACATTATGATCTATCAGCCAAAGCTTGAGTTGATTCGAAGGTTAGTCTAACTTGAGCTCGATCAAAGTGAGATTAATTATATATTATCCTTTATATTTGGATATGTTAGTTTTATGATATTTATACTTCAAAAATTTATATTGAGATTCTTATAATTTTGAAGGTGAAACAAATAATCTTATTTATCCTAATATTGTTATCATGTGCTGGATCAATATGAAAATAATAAGAAAAAAAATATAATTTTAATATCCCTTTTATTTTCGGCATGTGAAATGTTGAAATTTTTTTTTACCGATAAAATCATTGGAAATAGAAGGGATATTAAAATTATCTTTTTACTCGTTACTTTCGTGTCGATTCAATATGGTGTCATGCGTTATGTTTTTCATCAATGTAGTTGATGACGACATTAGGACAAATAGAGTTATTTATTTTTATTTTGATAATTATAAAAATTTTAATATATTTTTTAAATATAAAGACTATGATGTTAAGAGGATCTAAGTATAAGGGATAATATATAATTAGCTTATCTAAACGCTCAATCTCAAAATATCTTTGACTTCAATATTTTGACTTAAATATTTTTTTTCTTAATATAGTCAATGTCATCTTCCCTTCCCTGGGTGTAATCGATACTTTGATGGTGTTCCGTACTATAGCCTCATAGCTAGCTAGTGAGGAACATCTCAATTTGAGAGACGATATCGAATTATGAAGGCATGATCGACGTTATCACTCTGAGCTTCTCAAGAAATAACACGCTATTTGCGAAGTCGAAGATTGTTAGCTTATTGTGAAGATATTGCTTTGGAAGCAACTAATATAAAAAGATCGTTAGCTAAACCAAACACATCATGATCTTATCAAAAGTATGAAAGTTGTGCAAATAATGTGATATATATATATATATATATATATATATATATATATATATATATATATATATAATTTTAGTTATTTGAATCTGAAAGGTGAGTTTTCAATATATTGATTCTGAAAAAATTGAGTTGACGGTATTTTCGATTATGGCCCCTCCGACAATTAAATTGGTTCCAAGTTAAAAACCTAAGATTAATCAATATGATATAATAGATTGATTTATTAAATCTTAAAAAGGTAATCTAGAAACGATTACGTCTAAGATTGTGAGGCATTAAGAGGAGAAGGAGATGTATGATGTGTTGGATGGGGGCATGATTGAACATTCCTTTCTTAGGGTCGAATGATCCGACATTCGACCACGTGTAATTGGTTATATCATGTCTCCTCACATTCAATTACCACATTGGTAAGATGTGGCTGACAAATCATTAGATTGATCAACCTGTCAACTATGTTAGGGTTTATGTGCTTGTCATCTCAACTTCTTCTTATCGATATATATAAAAGATGATATAATTAACATTTAATAAGTAAAATTCTAAAAATAATTATCATGGATTGAATGAAAAGGAATCAAAAATATTTTGGTGCTTGTTTGTTTTCCAATAAATGATTTGTCAAAAAAATTACATGCGATTGTCAAGTGCAAGAAAAAAAATTCATTACTATAGTTTGCATGTTGAGGAACTTAGGATGATATTGAAGGTTGCTATTTAAATCATTTTTTCAATTTATTATCATTCTACATATGATAAGAAATAAAAAATCATGATTTTTTAATGAAAATTGATTTATTGATATATTATAAATTAGTAACATGTCTTTAATGAATCTTTAAGTAATATAACAACATCTTTATTGATTAAAAATCTAAAATATCTTGATTTTGACGTAGAAAGAAAAAAGTCAAACCCATTTCGTAGAGATCGTGGATGCTAAATCTCAGTGAGCTCTTCTAATATTTTGGGCTGGACTTTGTTTAAATTAGGGCCATTTTCGTTATCTTTCTTAAAATTCCTTTTTTATACATTCTTAAATTTCTCCATCTCTCTTTGCTATCAATAGTCGGATCTTTATCCATTAACTTAGGTGATATCTTCAAAAAATTTGTTAAAGCTTTCTTAAAATTCTTTTTTTTTTTTAATATATTCTCAAATTTCTCCTTCTCTCTTTACTATCAATAGTCGGATTTTTGTCGATTAACTTAGGTGATATCTTCAAAAGATTTGTTAAAAAAAATATTTTTTTCTTTTTTTTTTTCGCCTCCAAAGAAGACTTCGATTTTAGAGTTACGAGTTTTCGACAAGTATTCATCAATTTTTTTTTTTTGATACTTTTTGACTCGATGAAATTAAACGATATCTCAATCCCGTGGAGGGATTCACTCACGAATTGCTATCAAATGAATGTTCTATATCATTTGTATATTTGAACTTAATAGTATACCAGTCAGTCTACGACTGTTGTATATGACACGACATAAGAAAGAAAGAAGAGAAAAAGAGTTTGCAGAACATATTGTCTTCCTTTTCGTTGACGAGTCCTTCCGGGGTTTTGCATCCTTGGAAGCGCAAACATGCTTAGTATCTATCCATCCATCCATCCATGGGAACCTTTGAGAGCTTAATTCTCTACTATTTCATCTCATGAATACTGCTTTCCTCCCTTCGGAAGAGTGTCTCACCTTCGGTCCATGCTTCATGTGCATGGTCAGCGCCATCTTCGGCACCATCGGGTGGTTCTCGGTGACCTCCACATGGCAGCGGTGGAGAACTTGTAGGCGGACTCGCTCATGAAGCCGACGTCCCTGAGCCATCTCTCCTGCTTGTACTCCCTGCAGTCTCTCCCCCACACGCTCTCCAACCTTCCCGTGGAGAATATGGCGTACACCACCTTTGTTCCTTTCTTCAGTACGGTGCCGTCAGGGAAAACCTCATCCGAGAAACCACTTGCCGCTTTACCGAGAGACACCGAGTTAAGTAATGGATCTTGGGGTGAGAAGAGCAGTTTCTGTCAGAAAGAGCTACTAACTCAGCATCACAGCAGGGGAAAATAACTATAATGTCCTGGCAAGCTGATTGTATCTGTGGAGAGGCTCCAAAACTTGGGTTAAAGATTACTCCAAGACAATAAAAACCAAGAAATTTGTGTGACGGATGGAATGGAACGCTTTGAAATTGAGTAGAACCAAAAGTCCTATGTTGATTGGATAATAGAAAAATAACCAGATATGTTCGAAAAATGAAAACAAACTACATAAGTGATAAAATTGAGTACAGACACGTTACCAATTCCCACGATAATAAATTTTCCCTTCCACAGACAAACATGGGATGGAATTTCCTAGTAAGATCAAGTTCAAAATTCTCATGCAGAACGCAGAATTATAATCCTACACTAAATTTTGGGGCTCAAATTTCGCAGAAAGATTGGCCTAGTATTTCACTTTTTCTGTCTTTTGCTTGCAGAGAATTTGTCCTTGTTGAAGCCTTTGAAGTCATTTGTGGACTCAGCTGTATTCTGCTTTTTCATACCTTTCCTTCCTCCATGACCAAACTTAGCTTCTCTAAATTCCCTTTGCTTCCTACCTTTCTCATTGCCTCCTTTCCTTCTGAACCCTCCAGACCTATCGCCAGGAGCCACCCCTGTGCGTCTTTTCTTCGACTTCTCAAAGCTCTTTTCCTCGTCCGGAGACAAATCCAGTTCCTCATCCTTCCCTCTAGCAAAGCCACTTTGCTGCCGCTGTTTCCTCCATCTCTTAACTGATTCAATATCCTCTTTCTTGCGCTTAGCCCTCTCTTTAGTCTTCTGGGCCTGGACCTCTTTAGCCAGTTTCTTTGCTTCCCTTGCTTTCTTCCTCTCTTCAGCCTCTTCAATCTTCTTCTTCTCAACCAAGAGCTTGCCTTTCACCTTCAACATATGGGCATCACTCTTCACCATCTCTGCGTAGTAGTCTGGTGGCCTAAGAAATGGAATCCCCATTGACTGTAATTTCTCAAAGGCCTGTCTGGTGCCATCTAATGCTTGGGTATAAAATGCCAATTCACGTGCCAGATCATCATTTACATCAACCTCTTGGTCCACAGCATGATCAACAGTTAGCTTGTGGATCCATTCAACGTTTTGCGGCCAAGCTATATCATCGAGCTTTTCAAGAAGGGCCTCTTTGTTATAAACAGCATTCTTTGCAGGTTCACTCACTGCCACTTCTTCAGGTTCAGATTCTGATTCTGATTCAAATTCTTCATCATCAACATCACCCACATTGCTATCCTCTAACTCTTCCTCATTAACTTGAAGTTCTTTACCTCTGAGTGCAACCATATTGGACTGAACAAAAGTGATACAATTAATTAGTAAAATTGTACTTTAATTTATGGAAAAACCTGGCAGCATTTGCATCCATAACCTCGTATGTGTAGAAAAGGGACAAATACTAAGCTAGTAAGCAGAATGAAGGAGAAGAAAACAAAACCAATCACCTACTGCTCATCCAAATATCAATTAAGATGGTAAAAAATGGAAACATGGCAGCACAATATGCGGTAGAAAGTATTATATAACTCAAAGAGTAGACAAATTTACATCTGAATCATCATGCCAACGAGTGGCATTAAGAAGCTAAAGGTGAAACATACAGGTAGAGATAATTATGAAAAAAAAGAAATATCTCAAGGAAAAACAAAAGAAAAAGGATATGAAGAACATCTAGTGTCATTCGCATTTTATGATTGTTGAAGACACCAGAATGAACTATTATAAGCAGCAGCAGACAAACCTTGTAACTTCCCTCAACACGAGCTATCTCTATTGAAATTTGCTTCTAATAGCCCTGAAAAAGAAAACTTGGTGAAAAATGATCCAAAAACTAGAGTTGCATTGTTAAATTGCAGCACATTCTTCCACCAACAATCCGCTTCTCATGCATGTGGATATAGAAATTATGTTGTCCACCGCAACACACATTAAACAAGCTCATTTTTTCTGCCACTTTGTAATAGTTAGGGATGATCTCACGATTTAAATTACCTTTACACTACTGGGCACTTCCTGTTCAAGTACTTTTATAATCTTAATTAGCAGGTCTATGACCTTTTTTTTTTATCATTGTCCAACATCATAAAAGAGGTCATTAGAACAGAGACATAATACATTGTGAAGAGCCCAATACCCTTATATTTTAGTACATCACCTTCATAGTAGACATATTACAAAGAACATGACAACTTTGCTATCAAATGAATAATCTAGATTCATATAATAGAATATAAAGACCCTTTCGAAAGGATTACACAAGTTTCAACTGGTTCATGGTTGCTGTCCATAAATCTTGGCTTTCATAGATGGGTGTAGCAGTGTATGCAATTTTGCAGAAGCAGGTACTATTCAGAGGAAATGCATATAAGGTAACATATTCCTATGGAGGTCCAGAAGCAGGTGTGGCACCTATATTATTCCAAGCAATGACTATTTCAACAACGAAGTTTTCTGCCACAAGGTTCCCTGTCACTTGACGATAGTGTTCATATGTCACAGAGAAAGAACTGATACAGAAATGACAACATGGAAGCCTACTATTGGTAGAACCAGTCCAAACTGGCACATATCGCCGGTACCGGCGTACCAAAACTCTGCTGGGGGAGGGAGAGGAACGGAGGAAGAACGAAGAAGCGAAATAATATCAAGGAAAGAAAGAGGAGGCAGCGGAGAAGGCATACCGGAAAGAGATGGACGGCGCGCAGTAGACGGCGTGCGGCAAGTGGGAGAGGATCAACAGCAGCGGGATCGGGGAAGAGGAGAAGAGGGCGGCGGGAAGAGAAGTGGAGGTCGCGAGCCCTAACACTATTTTTCTGCTTTTAATGTGTCGGACCGGATCGCGAAATGGGCCCAGTCCATGTGCCGGTTCGCGCCCGGACCGGTACATATCTTATAATAAGCTTGATCGCATAAATTCAATATGTAACCCAAGTTAACGTGGGCGTTAATACGAAGGAAACCTAATCAATATGAGGGTATATATAATATGAGCTGTAAGCTTTTATCACCAAATTTTGATTCACCCCTCTGTTGCCGTCTTTATCTCGAGCTTTTCTCACCAGCCGGTCACCAGAGTTTGTCGACTGTACAGCACGCAAAGAAATTCGTGTTCAGATATCAGTTACTCGTTTTTTGATTGGATAAAGCATTTCTGGGTCCCATTAGTAGGTGTAATGACCAATAAGTGAACGGGTATGAAAGCGTGTCGTTGTCATGCCTACGGCACCAATCCACACCACACCGTCAACACGATTCCAAAGGAAAACAATAAATAAAAGGATAACATCTTTTCATCCTTTTACCGCTCGCCTATTCCCGTCGTATTCAAGTCTTCGATACCAACGGGGAGGGGGAGAAATTTCTTCCTGTAGATGGTTGAGGCGGTATTCGAGGTGGCGGTCGCAGAAACCGACTCCGCTTCCAACCCGGACTCCGCTGGTCTTCCCTCTCCATCTCCCCCCTCTCGTCTTCCTCCTCCGGCGAAGGCCGAGATGGCGATCGCCCTTCCTGAAGGTCCCGATGGCAACCCTATCCCCGGTTCCGACCCCAATCCTTCTTGGTTCACGCCCAAGAGGTACACGAGACCCTGTCATTCCTCTGTTGTTGTGGATGTCTTGATTGCTACTTTGCTTGTTGTAGGGTTTTGATTCTTTTCTTCATTTAAAATAAAATGGAATCGAGGTTGTTGGTTGTCCGGTTGCTCTGAATCCCATTTCTGATAATTAGAGAATTAACAGCTGAAATTTGAAATCTTGATAAAGACTGCTATTTGGGTTGGTTGATGTTGTCCTGGTGCCTCCGAAATATAAGATAACTTCACCTGGGAGGTTTTTGAATTTTTTTGTGGGTCAGAAAATTAGAACGTTCCCAATTGAGTTACCTTTGGCTAATCAGATTACAATTTTCCAAAATTCTTTGTGATGTGCAACATCAAGTGTGAATGTGTCCTAGCAGTTATAGCATATAATAGTTGGTTGAAGTCATAACAAACAGAAGCATAGAAGGAAATTCACAGCTTTTATGTTTCTTAATGTGTTCAGGTGTTGAATTGTAATTAATTTGTATTTCTAATGTTGTTTATTGTCCTTTTTTTGACTCGTAGTCCTTACAGTCTCAACTCATCTGTATTTACTATCCAAGTTAGAATGATGGTTGTATCTTATAAACTGCTCTTGTATTGTTAATTAATAATTCTAATTTTGTTTCTTTTCCTTTTTGACTCGTTGTCATTATGGTCTCAACTCATTTGTGTTGACTATATAAATTAGAATGATGTTGTACCTTATTTATTTGTTTTTTATTATTAATTGATAATTATAATATTGTTTCTTTTCCATTTGACTCATTGTCATTACAGTCTCAGCTCATTTGCATTTGCTATATAAAAGTTTGAATAGTGTTTGTGCTTTGTTTATTTGCTTTTCTAGGGAGCAGGTCATGGTTTAGAAAATTGTATAGTTTTATCTTATCTTGGTCTTGAGAGGCGTTTATGAGGTATTTGCAAACTAGTTTATGCTGAAATTGCATTCTACTTAAGCAATTTGAATTATTTGAGTCCTATTGTATGATTTGCCTAATGGTTATATTATTTGAAGGTGAAAATTACTTTAAAGCAATAACAATTTTTTTCTTCTGATTTACTTTGATAAGTCCTTGACTAGGATCTAGGACACAGTATAAAATTGTTAAGTATTTTATGTTAAGCAGAAAATTTTAAGATGCACCATGCTTTTCAACTGATTCTTTACTTTGGGGAAGGGATTCCTGAAGCACTTTAGTTTGTGTCTACCTGAAATTGGCCAACCTTGTTGTTCTATGCATCAATGTATTATGAGCTAACATGTATTTCTGTCATCTAGGTTACCTGCATGATATACGGGACGGTCAGGGCCTGGTGTGATGGCCCTTATGTGCATTTTCCTGTGGCAATTATATCGAACAATTATATAGTGATAGACGTAATAGCTTGTATAATTTTATGTACTTTAGAACAATTCATATCAATCTCAGTACTGTAGATTGTCACAAATAACTTATATTATTTTGTTCTTTTGCTTTTCTATTTTCATTTGGATGCAATGTTAATTACTTGCATTCGCCAAAAAGAGGTCATTGCATTGCATGCTACAGTAAGGAGCAGGACCCAAAGTTGATAATTTGGAACTTCATTTTACCTGTTGCTCAAAGCTAATGTGTTGCCTTTTTTTGTGATAAGAAGCCAGTAGATGTATACAAGGAAGATATGAATTGGTAATTGTTTCTATATATGAATTTTATATAAAGTTGTTGGGTCTATGCATCTTTGCATGCAATGTGAGTTGGAATATTTATAAATTGTATTTGTTAAAGTTTCTGATCAAGCCGAACATGAAGGAAAGAGAATTTTTTTGTAGCACTTAACTTTTTAATCAATCATTTATCTTATGAGAAATTTATTCTATTTGCAGATTGCTTGTGATATTTTGCATAATCAACATGTTGAATTATGTTGATCGGGGTGCAATAGCAAGTAATGGTGTAAATGGTAGTCGCAAGACCTGCACAGATAGTGGCACATGCACTTCGGGTACCGGAATTCAGTAAGATTCATTTTAAAATATCTGATTGATATTCTTAAGCTTTAACACTGCAATTTTCAGTTGTAACTATGAGTTTTTAACTATGAACTTTGTGACTTTGTGCTAACTTTTTGGCTCATTTTCATAAGTCTAAATGCTTATTGACTGGGATGCATTTTCATCTTGTTGTATGAAACAGAACTGTTATTATTTTCTGGCACGAACTTAAATTTACAAGTTTTAAGTAGTCCTCGTGATATGCCAAAAAGAATTTGATCATCAGCTGTGTCAGCTTTATTGCACTCATGGTATTCATGCTTCATATTTTGAATTATCTTGTGATCATTTTCTAATTGCAGTTTTAACTTTTTATGTATTTTGCAATTAATAAAATGTTTTGATGGTCATTCTTCCACTTCCCATAATAGTGATTTAAAAAGCGCTTGGTGTTAAATGACACTAAGTTCCCAAAATGCCTGAGGCATTATGTGTTCGTTCAAGCGAAACGAGATGCTCTAAAATATTAAAATATAAAAAATATTTAATACAATTGACAAATATGATTATATAAATAAAAATATGGCATTAAATTAGCGTTTTCCTTTCTCGGCAATTGAGCATAGCCCCTTACTTAACCAGTGTTTATCACTTAAAGCCAATAAAAGGGGACGGCCATAGACAGCACTGTGGATCGAGTACCACTAACTTATCGAGGTAATTTCTTAAAGCCAATAAGAGGGGAAGTCCGTAGACAACATTGTGGATGGAGTACCACTAAATTCACACTCTTTAATGAATGTAGGAACTGAAAAATGTGGGTCCATACCTATGCAAGAAGGAGAGGGCAGCGGTGACAGAGGAATTTTTGGACGACAGCGATGGTGGCGGAGGAAGCTGCGGGCGGCAGTAGCAGCGGTTGTGGAAGTTGCGAACAGCGACATCGTCGGTGAAGTAAGCTTCAGAGGTGCCCGTCGGTGACGCATGAAGTTGTGGTCCTCTCCCTCAATGGTGGAAGGAGCTGCACACGGAAGCAATGACGGCAAAGGGAATTGCGTGAAAGCTAGGCCGTCGGTCCCGTCCGTCGGTGATAGAGGAAGTGTCGGTCCTATGCGTGGCGACAGAGGAAGCGTCAATGGCGGAGGCAGTAGCTGCGCTAGGGTTTATGACTCAGGGTCATGCGAGGGGAAGGGGGGGGGGGGTTTGTATGTAGCTTAGTTGGTTCAATCGAACCAACTAACTACTATTTAACCGAACTAGACTTAATAGTTTGGTTCGGTTGCTTCGTTTGAATCGGGCGCTATCCCAAGGCGATCGACGCCTGGGTTCAGGCGAGCGCCCAGGCAACGTTTTATTGAAGTGCGTCGCCTGGTCGAGGCCTGAGGTGCTTGAGCCTCGCCTCACCCGAGCATCTAGGTGAGCGCCCAGGCATCTTTTTAAACCCCGTCCCAGAATAAGCTAAGATGCCTTGAAATCCTGTTGTCTGTATTATGAAGTTAAAACATCTTTTCTTTTTCTTTCGGAATGGACGTAAGTTAAGTTTGCTAGCTTCACACATACTCGTGCAAATATATGCACATGGATGAGTATATTGAGGGGCCTCATGTTAATATAGATACAAGGCTGAGACTTTTTTTTTTGCGAACTGGGATTCTTATGTTTTCAGAACTGGTATTTTGAGTTCATGGAACTTTCTTGTGAGGGGCTTAGATTTGCCAAAGATCATACACAAGTTAGTAGCGGTCTAGCATGCTTGATTGTAACTAACTATGATGCTTATGTTTTGTGTAATTGCACACTTTTACGGTCATTGGTACATTCGTAAGGTTGCTGCTCTACATTGTGGCCAGGATGCTGATGAACATGATGCTAAGATAGAGGAGTTTGAATTGAGCTATTGTGAAATCATCTAGTGATTGGAGGATGCAACAGAGTCATTGGCTAAATGCAAAATTTCATTTGATTTACCAATTCATCTTTTTTTGGTCCCCAACATTAAAAATTGTCAATAGTGTTTTTGATGGACAACTTTGATACGATTGATTAGTGATAGGGAATAGTATGTGATGGATTATGCTCTCCCTGTCAAGGATGACATATGACATGCTGGATACTAATTTAAGAGGGACTTTTTTGATGGATGATTCTGATCTTATTTGTATAATGGAGCACACACGTATGATGTACATGGACTGACCATGTGATGAATGGTCTTAGTTTTGTTAAAATTTTTGCATAGATGGGTTCTACAT